ACCATGCAGTGAAATAGCTTCATGCACAGAATGCAGCCTGCATACCGGGAAGGGATTATTTTTTATGAGCAGAAGCGGAATAAACAAATTCTTCAAATACAGCCCACACATAGAAAATGAAGAAAGGCTGCGAAGAGGCTCGTCCTTCAGGGAGTGTTAGGCTTGAAATGTTGGGGAAGTCCCAGCTGTGCCCCAGCAGCTGGTACCCCACAGACTCGGAAAGAAATTGGACCTGGTCCCCCACTGCGATATTATGGGGGCTGTTTGCAAACTGTGGGGCTGGTCCTCGTCCAGCTGGGTAGTGACATTTGGATTCCACTTGGCTACACTTCAAGTGCACATATTGAAAATTGCATCCTTCAGCAGTGGGATGAAGTTGCCATCTTGAGTGGAAGAAGGTTTATTTATAATGACTTTGTAGATATTTTTAAAGGCTAATAAAAGAAAAAAGCGTGACAACTGGCCCATGTTTAATGTGACAAACAATACTTTGTAGGTTTGTATTGGGAGCAACCACATTTCAGCATAGCACAGGTGCATGCTCCCACATGCACAATGTGGTAACATCTATCCTTTCTCTTACTGATTTGACCACAGCCAAGGAAGCAAGGTTCCTGTGTTACACTGAGATCCCTGTTTGTTACAACAATCAGAATGTTCAGAATAAAGTAAAAAACAGAATTCAAGGTATAATTGAGGCTAAAATATCTTGGTTCACTCTCCCTCCTATAGCCAATCTGCTGATACTTTGAAAGCTTCCCGTGGCAGAAGACCACTCCTCCCTAAGAAGCGCCTGGTGTATTCAGCAGCATACGTGGGGCCATCAACCAGCGTGATTTAGGGTCATCTCTGATGAGAGAACAGCAGCAGAACAAGATGTCCTGCTTATCTCTCCCTTCCAAACTACTTTGGATACAATAAATGGCCACAGCAAAATATGGACTAGTCCTGCTTTCACTGATGTCAGCGTAGCTGAACTACTATTGATTTTGAAGGGAATAAGATCAAACCTCTCTGCAAGGAATATTCACAGTAATTAATCACTTCTCAGCTACCAAATTTGAACAACTTCATGAAAATACTTTACTAGTCAGCTCTGTTCAGAGTTGTCCTTTTATGCTGTTGGTAAAATACATGCTAGAGTTCTCTTATAGGATGCTGCATGAAAGGTAGCATTTATGGGAATACTGCATTGTCTTCAGTACCAAGACATGTTGCGTTATGATCTGTAATCACCAGCAAGCAACAGCAGATGAGCAAACAGCTGTGGCACCTATTTAGGGCATCTGAAGTTCTTCCAAGATGAGCTCACCTGCAAACCAGCCTTATGATTGTGTAAGTCTAAAACACTTTCTGTGCAAGGGCTGTAGTACAACGACGCTGAATTCTGAGACCACCACAGGAAATAGGGTAGTGATGAGGCTGTGTTGCCCAGTGTCTGGAAAACAGCATGCTTCCGCCTTGGATAAGGAGGGCTTCTCAGGTTGGGAGCATGATCAACGTTTTCAACAGGCCTAGACATTATCCCTAATTTTTCTTCACCACCTTTTCCCAAGTTGCATCCTGCTATTCTTAAACTATGTGACCTTTCAATGAAATATAGTAACCTCTATATTAACAATAGACCACCAGCTCTAGTCCCACCTGTGGCCAGGAGGAACCAGGCAGGTACCCCCAGTGCACAGGGGAAACCCCACGCCAGCAGAAGTCACTTCCCGGCAGTGTGAGTTGTGCTGTATGACAAGGCAGATACTTTGGCTCCTTCCTGATGCTGTGAAATGGCCTAGTATGGACTTCAGCCTCCTTGCCTCTCTCCTCCCCTGCAGATGCTGGTTTTCACTGGTTTTAATGTGTGTGGTGCTGCCTTCACATGCTACTGGTTTCTGGAAGCACTGCTGCATGGTTTTCAGTGTCTGGAGGACAGACCACTTGGACCTCCAGAGGAGGCAAGGCTACCTTCAAAAGCTTCCTGTCTTCTTGGCCCACGAATAATTAAGATGCGTAAGACAGGCAGTTTAGTTATTTATTTATAGGTTCTTTGGTGACACTTATCATGCCAGCATCTGAGTGGCAACAGCCTGATATGCTGATGGGTGGTGGTGCAACCCTATCTCGCTGGCTGGCCAATCCCAGGGAAACCTTTCCAGCGAACACTGCCGTGTCATGAAGTGGAGGAAAGACGATGTGCCACGGCAGAGGAGAGGAGCCAGTGCTCTCCCCAGCCCTGCTCACATCTTCCTGCACCAACACAGCCCTTCCTTTCCCCTCTGTGAGGGCTCCGGAGGCTGCTGAGCACCAAGGCCTAGTGGCATCCCACGGCGTTTGCTAAAAGCATATGGCTGAAGGAGCTTCTCGTTTACTGTCTCTGGTGTGGAGAAGAGAAGGCCCTGTCTCTTCACCCTGAGTTATGTGTTAAATGTCCGACCACCATTTTGCACAGCCACGGGGACAGCGCTCAGGACAGGGCAAGGGCAGTAGGAGGCAGCACTACAGAGACTTCATCCGAGGGCGGGAAAAAAATTGGAAACATTGCCTTGCAGAAGTTGCCAGAGATTGATGGATTTCTCTGACTCACTGTTGGCTGGCTCTGGGGAAATGGCCACGAGCTGGAGCACGCAAGGTGCTGCATCCCGTAGACCCCTCGTCCACAGGTATCCCTGTGGCTACCCAGCTCTGCGTGGTGTTTGGTTCAAAGATCTGCCTGTAGCTAAGGCAACTGGGAGCAGCTCTGCCTGCTCGGAACAATGCACAGGACTTTTTAATGTAGTGCATGAAATGCTGGCCAACATGCTGTTCGCCTCAACAGCTGCAGAAATGGTGCTTTACAAGTCCAATCTTTCAGAACCGCCTTTAAGTTATCTTATTTGTCTCTGAAATGAACTTGGTCCTCCCCAGCCTTGACAGTTATGAATGCTCTTCATTTTTTCATTTTGATTGTGATTTTTTTTTCTAAAGGAAGAGGAAAAGCCAAAGTACTAGAGAAAATCCTACCTGATGCAGTATATGTTCTTTCTTCTCTATTGCTGAACTTATTACAGGTATGCTAGAGGCACCCTAAACTAGAAGGAATGTTTTTAGAACGTCTTGGTATTCTCTTAGATCAAAAGCTACTGACACAAATGTTCCTTTTGGTTTAACGTATCTCCAAAGCAAACCAGAAAGCACATTGCGAAGCTGCAAAGAGAAAACATGCTCAAACAGTGTTTGAAGTAGCTCATAGTACGGAAAACCTTTTCGTACAGATATGGTCATGCAGGCTGCTATTCATAACGACAGGGATCACCTGCTCCTCTTTCTGCCACATAGCATCCCAGTGATGATTCCAGCAATTGCTTACATGGAAAAAGGGGTAGGAAAGTACTCATGTATTTTTAGCTATCTTATTAAAATGCGGTTTGGCAGCTGGAGAAAGATAGGATAAACCAACACCACGTAGGCAATCACAGTGGAGATTAGCAGGTGCTACGCAGACCTTAATTCCTGAACTTCTGAGGTAAAATACAAAGTTAAACACCAGGGACAAATTCTGTGCTTCCTTCTTCTCTGTTGTTTCACTGAGGATTGCAGATTTGTGCCTGTGCATCTGTAGGTGCATCAGAATTTCCTCACTGAGGTCTACGGTTTACTTTGTCTGCAGTATGTAACTTTTAACTGAATCAGTTTGTTGGTTTTCTTTAAAAATATAAAAAAAAAATTGAAAAGAGTTTAAAAAGGAAAAGGGAAAGGGAAGGCAAGGCAAGGCAAGGAAAGGAAAGGAAAGGAGAGGGGAGGGGAGGGCAGGAAAGGAAAGGAAAGGAAAGGAAAGGAAAGGAAAGGAAAGGAAAGGAAAGGAAAGGAAAGGAAAGGAAAGGAAAGGAAAGGAAAGGGGAAAAAAGGGGAAAAAAGGGGAAAAAAGGGGAAAAAGGGGAAAAAAGGGGAAAAAAGGGGAAAAAGGGGAAAAAGGGGAAAAGAGGAAAGGGGGAAAAGGTGAAAAGGGGAAAAGGGGGAAGGGGGAAGGGGGAAAAGGGGAAGAGGAAAAAGGGAAGAAAGGGAAAATAGAAAAAAGAGAAAAGGATAAAAAGGATAAAAAGGAAAAAGGAAAGAGGAAAGAGGTAAAGCAGTAGTAATTATTTTCTTCCTGGGGTTTTTGTGGTGCTCAAACTTCTGAAATGTATCACAGCCTGACTGCTGACCTATTACAACTGCTTGAAGACCTCAGCCAAAAATTCTGACACTGATATAGCAACATATAATCTACTCAGTCTAAAAATAAAGAATGATGCTTAGAAAACAGTGTAAGATGGATTTATTTACAAATATTCCAGCCACTTGTATTTTAAAAAACTTTTGTTCTGAAGACTGAAGAATGATAAAAGTGTAATTCAGAAATTTTAGACACAATGATGCTTCGCTGTTCCTTGAGGGTATTTTTAGTGTTGGCTTTTCCTTTTCTGGAAGCTTCTAATGTAACAATACCTTGCACCACAGTGCTGATGCGGGGATCAGTGGTTCATTAAAAGCTAATCCGTGAGACATTAGGTTTACAAGTGCCACAGACACATTAGATTTGACAACAAGAAGGAACAGCAGTGGTGAAAGGATTGTCAAATATACAGAGAATATCCCCGTAAGTGGGTACTACTATTAGTTTTGCAGGAAAGCATTAGTTCTGAAAATTAATTTTGTCTGTGTAATTACTGGTCACAGGTGTTTAGGAAGTGGTATTATAGCAAGTTAGACTGAAATCAATCAAAAGAGGTTTTATTTATTTTTTTCCATTTGATATTATCTCACTGATTTAAGCAGCAGTCTTTATACTCAGAATTCCCTACATCTGTAAAAAAACACAAAGACTGTAAGTATCTAATCACTCTTGAATAATTCAGCTATCTTCGCTTGCACATGATCTACATACAGCCTTTCAGACTAACTCTCGGCTAACTCCTTTGCTATGAGCGTCAGTCAGTTATCTACAGGGTTTGAGACAGTCCTTATAGAAAGAGAAAATGGCAGAAACTGCTTTACTTTTCCTCCATGGATAGTCGGTAAAGATTTTCCCCCAAGTATTCGAGCCTCTCCCGTTGTTCCAGATCCTGGTACAAGCCTTTGGGGACCTTGCTCAGGCCGTAAACCAAGCCGTACAGGCAGCCAGCGATAGACCCAGTAGCTGCGCTTTCTCCTGCAGGTTTAAGCACAATTGCAATGGTTTCCTGGTATCACCTTTACATACACAACCAAAAACCGTGCTGCACAGAGGAGGAAATACTATTCTGCCGATGAAGGGTGGTGGGGGCATGTTGGGTCAATCCCAAAGGCTTGCACCGCCCCATGTCCTGCCTCTGGCAGTGCTGGGTGAGGATGCCCAGGGAAGAGAGCGATGCCACAGCAATGCCTCTGTGGCATGCGCTCCTGGGCCAGGAGCTTATATGGTTTGGGGAAAATCCACTGCAACACAACAGCTCTTGCAAGCAGCTAGCCATCACTAGGAAAAAAGGAGGGAAGAGTGGTTGCAGGGGTGCCTGCTACCTGGCAAACATCCTGGATGGGAGAGTGTACCTTCCTTCCTAACAGCACAGCATGGCTTTGCACATGCTTTAAAACATCTGTGGTCAGCAGGTCAAGGGCCACAAAAGTGGTCAGAAGGCTGGAGCCTATGAGAGAGTTGGGGCTGTTCATCCCGGAGACGAGAAGGCTGCTGTGAGACCTTATAGCAGCCTTCCAGTACTTAAAGGGGGCTTGTAAGAAAGACGAGGACAAACTTTTTAGCAGGGCCGGTTGCGACAGTACAAGGAGTAATGGCTTTAAGCTAAGGTAGATTTACTCTGGATATAAGACAGAAATTTTTCTACAATGAGGGTGGTGAAACACTGGAATGGGTTGCTCAGAGAGGTGGTAGATGCCCCATCCCTGGAAACATTCAAGGCCAGGCTGGATGGGGCTCTGACCAACCTGGTCGAGTTGAAGATGTCCCTACTCACTGCAGGGGGGTTGGGCTAGATGACCTCTAGAGGTCCCTTCCAACCTAAACCATTCTATGGTTCTATGACTCTACTGTGATGACGGTGAGTAGCACTGATGGCCCACGCAGTGCCCACAGGTTCATGCCTGCCGGGCTCTGCAATGAGGGGCCATGAGCCATCTTGGTTTCACCGTGTGCAGTTAAAAGGTCGCATTGCCAGAGGCACTGGCATTTTGCAAGGAGAAAGATGCCAGCCCTTTACTAAGTCATGTTGAATTTTCTTCTTGTGCACCTCTCAAGACTGTGAGACTTAGACAGAGCAACATTTGAAAAGCACCGTAAGCAGCACATGTGGCAGCTGGTAAAACCACGGGCACAGAAATGATGGGCAACATGGCAGATTGGCCAACAGTGGCAGCCGCCAGCCCGAAG